ACATACACTGTCATTTCTCCGTTTGATATACTGATAATCTGACATACACTGTCAGGAGATTTTTTTTTAATTCTCTGTTTGATATACTGATAATCTGACATACACTGTCATTTCTCCGTTTGATATACTGATAATCTGACATACACTGTCATTTCTCCGTTTGATATACTGATAATCTGACATACACTGTCATTTCTCCGTTTGATATACTGATAATCTGACATACACTGTCATTTCTCCATTTGATGTACTGATATACTGACATACACTGTCATTTCTCCGTTTGATATACTGATAATCTGACATACACTGTCATTTCTCCGTTTGATATACTGATAATCTGACATACACTGTCATTTCTCCGTTTGATGTACTGATATACTGACATACACTGTCATTTCTCTGTTTGATGTACTGATAATGTGACATACACTGTCATTTCTCCGTTTGATGTACTGATAATCTGACATACACTGTCATTTCTCTGTTTGATGTACTGACATACACTGTCATTTCTCTGTTTGATGTACTGATAATGTGACATACACTGTCATTTCTCTGTTTGATGTACTGATAATCTGACATACACTGTCATTTCTCTGTTTGATGTACTGATAATGTGACATACACTGTCATTTCTCTGTTTGATGTACTGATAATGTGACATACACTGTCATTTCTCCGTTTGATATACTGATAATCTGACATACACTGTCATTTCTCCATTTGATGTACTGATATACTGACATACACTGTCATTTCTCCATTTGATGTACTGATATACTGACATACACTGTCATTTCTCCGTTTGATATACTGATAATCTGACATACACTGTCATTTCTCCATTTGATGTACTGATATACTGACATACACTGTCATTTCTCTGTTTGATATACTGATAATCTGACATACACTGTCATTTCTCTGCTTGATATACTGATGATGATATAAACTAAGTCATGACATAATATATTGTACAAGATATTAAGAAAATCTGTGAAACCCTTCAAACATGAAAAATTAACACACAAGAAAATTCTCTACTTTCTCCCCACATTGAAATCAATACCTGCATAGCTATAGAGTTCCGTATGAGCTGTCATCTTGAATGGTGTTTAATCCTACCAAATTTTCCATGATATTGCATTTAGTCTATACAAAGGTTAATGTAGGCCTTCTGTATTCATGAAATATGTAACTTAATGCTTCCTGAGATATGGTTCCTATAATGTTGTAATCCCTTCCAAGGTATCTATCAGTCCTCATGTTCCCTACCAAGGTATCTACTATCTATCAGTCAATATGTTCCTTACCAAGGTATCTATCTTTCCTAATGTTCCCTACCAAGGTATCTACTATCTATCAGTCAATATGTTCCTTACCAAGGTATCTATCTGTCCTCATGTTCCCTACCAAGGTGTCTATCAGTCCTAATGTTCCCTACCAAGGTATCTACTATCTATCAGTCAATATGTTCCTTACCAAGATATCTATCAGTCCTCATGATCCCTACCAAGGTATTTATCAGTCCTCATGATCCCTACCAAGATATCTATCAGTCCTCATGTTCCCTACCAAGGTATCTATCAGTCCTCATGATCCCTACCAAGATATCTATCTGTCCTCATGATCCCTACCAAGGTATCTATCAGTCCTAATGTTCCTTACCAAGGTATCTATCTGTCCTCATGTTCCCTACCAAGGTATCTATCAGTCCTCATGATCCCTACCAAGGTATTTATCAGTCCTCATGATCCCTACCAAGATATCTCTCTGTCCTCATGTTCCCAACAAAGGTATCTGTCTATCCTAATGTTTCCTACAAAGGCTTCTGATGGTCCATTAGATACGTTTGAATCTTTAACCCAGGAAATTGTTAAAATAGATATCTGTAGTGGAGAGGAATCATATGGAGCCAATACAGAAATCAATATTGCCAACAGTTCCAGTGGTCTGTTCTCATCCTTGATAACTGATCTGGTCTATCAGTGTTTATCTCCCAAACATGACTACAGTTTTGTGAAAAATGCTCTCATAGATATCATAAAATTGTACAGTTTCATCACAAGCAACCAGACGTCACAAAAATCTAAAATTTTCATAAAATCAACTATGTAACTTTAGATAATTTTTTTTTTACTTCTCAATTTGAATTGTATTTTCAGAGGTTAATCAAATTGATCAGTGGGAGGAAATGTTCTGTGCATGGAGCTTGAACTTTATCTTGAGCTACATAATGTAAATCGTCTTTGAAATTTTGAAGTAGATTTTGTTTTAAACATTCTCTTCTTCTTGTGGCGTACTAAGGGAACCTTAAGAAGTGTTTATCACAGAGTGAAATGTATTACGTCACTACTAAACTGCTCTAATCATGCTGGGAAGCTGAGAGTTTGATACAGAGAGAAAAGCCCTCAGGCATAAATTAAGCCATATAAAGCTTAAAGATTTCATATTTCCAAACCAAACTGTTCAAAAACAATTCATCACAATAACAATATACCACTGAACTTAATTCCTAACAATAAACATTTCTTTATTGGAGGCCATATTTCATGTATTTGTTACACTTAATAATTGCTTCCTTTGGCACAATATAGAAAAATACTTAGTGTTCTATATCATAACCCAAGACCATACAGTGAATATATATTCATTGTATTTCACGCTTATAAAGTGGGTAGGACGTCAAGGAATGATTAAAGGACAAAGGATACAATTTTCTTATGATTTCATATTTTCGCTAATATGATGCCTTGGTTACTATGGTAACCTATATGATAAGCCACCCAATAAATGAGTGTTCTGATATACATATTTTGTGGGTGATAACAAGGCTGACATTACTGACCATTGACCAGTCGATAGTTAGCCACTAAAATGCTAGTATCCATAGCTACAGGTCAGTCAAAACACAAGTTTAATTCTATATTCTCAAACAAAAAATAGATTTTTATTAATCACTATATCAGTCAAATTGATTCTTGTTACATGAAGATAAAAAGAGGTAAAAAGCTGACAAAAAAATGTGATTGTAAATGACCTCACAGGTCATTCAAATGTTGACAGAGTGATAGAGCTAATTTGACAGCCTGATAATAGGTAAGGTGGTATACCAGAACATGTGCAAGTACTGTACCTGCTTTGCTTTTTAAACAGCTCAAAAACACATTTGTTTTCATGCTACAAAATCATATCCTGCGTCCTTTAACTGACTGCATGTGACAGAGGTATGGAAGATCATTATCACTGTAACTATATATATACCACTAACATCAAAGCACTACTGTTGTCTTCAGTTTGACAACAACAGCTTAATGTCTGTACAATATACAACTATAGAAATGAATATTTCTTTCTGACTCGTAGCTATTGAGTTGTAATTGCAAACTACCAATGAAGGCTGTACCATGTGACCAATACTTGATGGTTCTTCATTTCATTTACAGTCACAGATACCAGTATTTTTACATAAGACTGCACTACCACACACTAAACATTAGAAGTAACACAATTTGTAGTTTGTTCATCGCTTTGAGTTTGCATTAAACTAGTTTATTTCACAGTGAGATTCTGGGTGACACTGCAACCAATCATAATAATCTATTTGAAGAAAATTTTCATCGTACCGTTACAAGTGTAAAGACCCTTTTTGAAACTGTTCAGATAAATAAAATTCTAGGTTATCTGAAAGATGTTGTTGTATGTTACAGGATATGACTTAGTGTTTTAATCTCCTGTAATAATATAACCATTTAAGATTTTTAGCATTTGTCTTTTACCATTTAGTTCGTTTGATGTTATTTCCTTTTGGATAACTGTCTTTCAGCAGTTGATGGCCCTAATGACTTTTTAGGTGTTGATGGGCCGTTAAGAATGTAATAATAATTACGATAATAATAATTTTAAGAAAGGTCATCACACAGAGATCTACTCTATATCAAACCACTGAATACTGGAGTTGTACAATGTCTTTGTCACTAGCAAGCTATCCCTATAAAGATTATCACTGTGAACACTTAAGTCTATCAAATTAACCAAATAGCACAAGGCTTGTAAATACACACTGGACTCCATATGAAATTGGAATTACATATGTATGCTAGTGAAATAAATAGAACTCATGTATGGACATCTGCAATGCATCTGGTTTAAATTGTGGTTAAAATGGTGCTTGTGGGAGGAAACCTAATCAGATGTAAAGCTATAATGGAGACAGGCTGATGTTGAGTCATTCTGTAGGGAATATCTGCGGGGGAGGCAGATACTTATATACAATATTGTCACATCACTTCTCATTTATTGTTGATGATATAGCTACACACAAAATGGAAGTGTGGGGACAAATGGCTAGAAATGGCTTTCAGTGCATAACCACATGATATCGATTTGGCCCATGCTAAAGAAAAAAACAAATTATTTCTGGAACTTTGTTGATAAATACCTTGACTCTGACAAATACAACTCTATTACAGAAATTACAACTGTATCGTGTCTAACAGTAGTTACATGTGTACAGAGAATCAGATAATTCACTGTCACAAACAGGTACCCAAGGGATTGGCAAACAAAGTCATTAGATATTCTTTATTTCTTTCCTATATATAAATGCCAATACATCTAGTTAAAAGGGTAGATAATTGAAACAGCTGTGAAGCTTGTGGCACTTGTCGATAAACATGGAATACTCTCAGCAAAAGATTGACTATGTCTTTATAAAATGGGGCCCTTGAATTCTGTGAACTTTTGGTTACAGTACTTTTGAATGTTTTTTTTTAAAGACTTTTGCTGAAACAAGAAGTGTTAATGAAACACTTACAATGCCCCTGGTTACAACAAACTTATTAAGAGGGATAAATCTGCTTTCATCCTTTATTCAGTTGGTGAAGCCTACACCTACATTTTTAATGAAACAAACCAATCATTAACATCAACCAAAAAGTGCCATTCTTTGGTCTGTTAGATTTCTAAAGAGAGCCTTGCCCTATGTTATACCTCACCTCAGATCGAGCCACCAGCATGTTGACAAAGTCCTGGTCCTTGGCAGACATGTTCTTGAAAATTTTATCAGCAAAATAAGTGTCAGCTCCTCTTACACAATTCACTGTAATGGAAAGAAATCAAAAGTGCCTTCAAATCACCATCTAGTCTACTCACAATGTGTCTCAAATAATTACGTAACCCCACATGGTATACTCAGCTCACAATGCTGCTCTTAACAGCACTTCTTCCCATGTCATTTAACTGGGTCTGTATCAATAAATAATGATCTAAACATTTTAACACATGGGAATGGTTTATGTCTTAAAGGCAATTAAAGCTTAAAGATAAACGTATCATGTTTCCTATCTAAAGCACAAGAAAAGACACAGAGACCAACAAACAAAACAAACATGTCTATTAACTACATTCTCGTATAAAATAGCATGTTACATTGTGATGCAAAATACACTAAAGTCTCATTTAACTTCATTTGTATGTCAGCATCAAGGGAAAAATTCCATGGTAAGGAAGAACTACATGATTATAGCAGGAAAGTGGTCTCCAGTATTAAATCCACGGGGAAATCTACAACTATTGCATGTTGGACATTTGTATTAGGATTTTACAATGTCACAGCATTTAGACGTGTATTAAGCATTCAAGCTCATCAGTCCTCATCTGTACTGCCAGTCAATTGAGTTACTGCTATGATGAGGGATGAAAACAGTCCCACATTTATGTACCAAAATCCACTTTAACTTGACCAGTATTGTTGGTTTGGATTCCTTGAATCTGGTACGTGTTGTATAGATAGCTAGTGGTTTATCTTATAACAGTAAGGTCATTTGTACACAGTGGTGCCATTGTTGACTTGTTCCTATTGTTTATGCTATGTACAAAGAAAATGAAGATGAGCTGACATACTCAGTTTTAATGTGATAACCCTAATACCCTGGCTGTAACATACAATAGATCTGTAACACAACAAAGTTTTAATGTGATAACCCTAATACCCTGGCTGTAACATACAATAGATCTGTAACACAACAAAGTTTTAATGTGATAACCCTAATACCCTGGCTGTAACATACAATAGATCTGTAACACAACAAAGTTTTAATGTGATAACCCTAATACCCTGGCTGTAACATACAATTCTGTAACACAACATACAACTGTAACTATAGATCTGTAACACAACAAAGTTTTAATGTGATAACCCTAATACCCTGGCTGTAACATACAATAGATCTGTAACACAACAAAGTTTTAATGTGATAACCCTAATACCCTGGCTGTAACATACAATAGATCTGTAACACAACAAAGTTTTAATGTGATAACCCTAATACCCTTTCTGTATCATACAACACTATAGATCTGTACTTCATCACTAGATCCATACAGGAAATATTGGTCAAGATTATACCTGAAAACCTGTATTTTGGTGTTCGTGGTCAAGGTCAGAGGTCACAATTATCTCATATTCATATGTTACTGAGCCTTATTATATGAACATGAATCATATAAGTCTTCAAAATCTAAACGTAGAGTAGGCTAACACTTGCTTGTAAACCTGGTGTTTCAGCAAGAGAGGTCATCTTCAAAGGTCAAAGAGAGGTCACAGTATTCCTAATTAGGTAATCATCAGTGTCTTGTCATGAAGTATCAACATATTAAATCTGATGTCATATATAAAGTATTTGGTATTTGCTGATATATAGAAATGTGTAATTCATCACATTTTAGAACCAATGGTAAAAACCAGAGGTCAGATAGAGGTTACAGTGACCCCATTTTATATAAGGCATTAGTAACTAGACTTGTACCAAGTTTGGGATTCCTGCTTGAAACCAAAACAGGGACAAGGATATGAAATCAATACAAGATCATGGATATGCAGGACATGAACAGACAAGTTTCCTGATTTTGGTATACATGTATTTGCACTACCTACCTCTGTTACGTTAACCTACAACACAGCCTAATATTTTACAGGCATTTGTGTAATGGGAAGCATTTTAATTTTTTCTCCATATAATTACTGTAATGTGTGATATCTGACCAGATTATACTTCCCAAATTCCATTCATTAAGTCTTTGATAGGAATATGCACTATATTCAGTAGCACTAAAATTTTTCAATACCTTGATATAAGAACCTTGATAAAGAGAGTTGATACATCCCCGATAATGACTGAATTTGACTTGTTCAATAACTCACTATTCCATGGGGAGATTAAAATTCAACATCATTATGAAACATGCAACTTTGTTTCAGGTAAGTCTTCCCCAATCTACATCCCTTGTCTCAAGTATACAATACTATTTGTCTTCTTCAACAAAGAAAGCAAGCAAGACATGGGTCACTCTTGGGACATGACCTAGACTTGTGTGGCATCAACTTACCCATGGTAATGAGACAGTCGGCATACTGGCGTGCACATTCACTCTTTATATCCTCCGTCACATCCTTGCCTCCTGTCAGAACTCTGTACAAGTTCAGGACAACTCGAATGTGGGCAAAATTACGGGTGCGAACCATCTTGATGAAAGGACCAGTGTCACTGCTCCAACGACCGTCCCCAGACTACAAAATCAAAACTTTGTAATCTAGAATTGAGGTGCTGTCATTGATCCAATAACAACAGGACAATATAACAAACTAATAAAGATTTAGTACACAAATTATCAGTATTAAGATTCCATAATTAAATACCCGGTAACTGTAATTTCTTTTAAATCTTGATTAACATTCTTTTCAAACCTAAGGCCAGATTTTACTATGAAGGCAAATGAATTCATCTCATTACTCATTACATATTGATTATGCTCCAGTTATAATCTATAAAAAAAATTACCTCATAAAGAGAGTCAGCATCCTTCTCTGCTTCCTTCTCCACCACCTTTACAGACTCATCCCGACCCTAACAGGAACATGAAAGTTAATTGTAAGTTCATTTTTATGTTGGTTTGATTGCCTGATGGCTCTGAATGGGAGTAATGGTTATTTTACTACAGACAACTAAGTACACAGAATGAAAGGTCAGGATTAAGATGGACTTGCCATTGCACTCCTACATACGTACCTGGTGTAGAGCTAATAGTAGTGTCTGTTCTGGGGCATCAGTCTTGTCTGTAATGTCTTCCTCCAAACTTACAGCATAGTCTACAACAGATAGGGGTGTAACGCATCATACAGAAACAAAACTTAAAATTACTGAATGTAAAACATTTATTGTTTATATGATGTCAATATGAATTTGTACACAGTTACATAATTAATAAAACACATAAAAGAAAGTTTATACTAATTTTACCTAAAGAAAAAGATCTGCATGTGGGAAACTTACAGGGCTAACAGGAGATAATGACAGTTTGAAAATTTAACTGAAATGAGATTAAATTCTTCAGACTGCAAAAGAATAATCCAAGGGAGACAACTCTAACACTTCAGGGCCTTCTTGGTTTACATCAAGTTGCATCCTCAATACTCCAGAGGTTACAACTACTTTCACTCTCTGCACCCTTGGAACATGTCATGACAAAGTTGAAGGCTTCATATGTAACACCTTGTGGGGAAGACGAAAAGACTAGTTTGATCCTTTGATGTACATCAAACAAATCTCAAGATGGAATAATGATATATTGTAATGACATTGAAGTTGGGTGTCGCTTGTTTGTAATCTTCAAACAGAGCAGATCAGTCTGTGATTGGTTAGGTTTTTTTTCTCCTGAAACCAAATCACTAGTGCTTTCAATTTTGCCAAAATATGTTCCAGGGGTGCAGAGGGAGAAAGTGATAATAACCCCCAGAGTATTGATGATGATGTCAATGGCCATTTAGTCTAGTATCAGGAGATTTATGACAAAACAGTCAAAATGTTATCATCCTATATAAAACCATTGTTTTCATTCTATATTACTTGATCAGCAAGGATTTAACTGTTTAGACCTGTGACATAATTTCAAGTAGTATACAGTATTATGGAGTCATTACATGGAACAAACAACAACTTAAGCTAACAGAAAACTATAGTAATATTTTAGACTTCAAAGAGTTGGTCAGACTTTAAGGATGTATACTTCAGGTTTCCAGTCAAATAACTAGGCTCCTACAGCAGGGTAGCTGTGTCACATAAACTAATATATCACATTGTGCATGGTTATACCACCAGAGGTTGTTACCTAACAAAACAGATTTTTTTCGCTATGTCTTCAGAAACCAAAAGCGTATGTAATACAGTGTGCAAGATGCATCACATCGAACCTCTCACATTGACATATACTATGTAGACTGGTAGATCTACCCAGTACTAAATTTTTTTTCTTCTTCTTCATGTCCTATCTGTTAGTTATCTGCAATATCTTTTGTGATCAATTTATCTCAGTCTTGCTTTAATATCTTTTAACGTCTCATTCTCATTTGAACATCAAATGAAATTTTGCTACAGAACATCAGCCCTTTGATAGAGATAAATCTGTTGTGATCATTTCCAGGTAATCAATTCTTTCAAGTCTGTATTGAATTCTCTGGCTTAATCACTAGGTCAGGTAATATTTGTTTCAGAGCCTCAGAGGTTTATTTTTTTTCATCAGTATATTTGTAATTATTTTATTTTATATAAACAATGAAGTTCTGCTTCATTTAAGTTTAAATGAGTTTGCCTAATTTGCGATGTGAATGTTAGTAGTATAAACACTGACCTAAGGAATATCCTCATGTTATGTTCTAACAGACTTGCTATATGCATATATGTAGGTACATATATTTCATATATAACAACTTATAAAAACATTCCTGTAGAAACTGATTCATCAGTAATATTATTTCAGTCTGTGTTTGCTGGGTCTATGCAATCAAGTTTTGACCACCATGACTTCCAATCCAAAATATTTTCCAAACTCCAAAACATCCATTTGTGACCTACCTTTATTGTAGAGGTCGTTTAGTGTAGCTAGAGACTGCTGTGTAGTGAAACACAAAATTTCTACTACTGTACTGTAACTTCCTTCCTGTAACAAAAAAAAAACAGTACAATTTGTTGTATCACAGGCTACACATTCCTTAAGAATCTAACATGAAATTCTCCCCAATCTGATCTTTTTATTACATAAAGATGACTTTCAAATCTTTGACAGAAGTTGTGTACCTCTAAAGCGTCGTGAATTGCTCTGGATGAGGAGGTGGTACGCTCATCCAGGAGTGCATCTATTATAAGGAACCAGCTAGCACCAAGTCCTGACTTCAACTCTGGGATCAGCTCCTGTGGATAAAGCGGGTATATAATACTAGATAGAGATTTAGACCACTTCTATCATATAATAATTCTACTCAGGTTACCATTCAATAACTTTACTAAAGAATTCTATAATTCAGTAAGGTTAATGTTTAACATTATACAGGTCCACTGATAATTCACAACGTATTGATAACTCTGTCTGACAGATGTTATGGTAGTAGAAATAATGTCTTATTCATAGTCAAACTAAGTTTGACATTTGTTATTAAGACCAGAGAGAATATAAATATCTTGTTCTTATTTTCAATTAGAGGACCTTAAGCCATATTAAATATGAAGTAAGTAATAACTGCAACAACTATCTGGTTCTTTCTGGTTCTTTGGTTTTTTTTGTTCTTATGACTTCATGAAAATCCCACCCCTTTACTGAATCAAACACTAAGTCAAAACTTGAATGTCAAAGTTTCTGTATTACCAGTTCATACAGTTCCTCAAATCGGGCCTTGGTTTTCATTCTCTGTTTCTGGTTGCGTCTCACACAGGTCCTGATAATAATATCTTCAGGGTGTACTATAGTAATAAAAAACAATGAAATCAACATAGTCCAACTACAGAAACAACAAATAAGAGTTACTGGTGGACAATTTACTGTCAACATTAAACTTTGTTAAACGACAATAACAACAAGTAATGGTTACAGGGAAACAACTCTCCAAACGAACAAAGAAATGTTCTACAGGGAGACAACTCTCCAAACAAACAAAGAAATATTATACAGGGAGACAACTCTCTCCAAACAATCAAAAAATATTTACATGGAGACAACTTTTACAATGGCAACAAAATGATAAAGAATGACTTGGAAAATAGAACCTTTGTATTTGCCCTCACTATAAACCTTTCAATTCCAGTCTCAGCTAAATGAGAAAATAAGATTTTGATGAATCAGAAGCCACCATTATGGTGCTGTAATAATGACTTTGGAAACAACTAATGTGTCACATTATAGCCTTTAATTAGGGTCACTATTTGACCAAGTTTGAATAAAATTGAATGGTAACAGAGACTTGCCTCTTCCTATAAGTTTGGAAGCATTAAACAGCTGTTTGGCATCATTATCTGTCTGGGCCTGCTGGGGGTTCCTTTTGTCACCCTGGATACTTGTTTGATCTGACCTGTTGGTCCGTCCACCCTCTGTGGTTTCTGACCTTGAATCATCATGGTACTGTAAATGATAAGTGAGATTAAGTATAAATTTCATATTAATTGTGTGAACTGTTTAAATATATAAAATGATGTCAAACTTTTTAAATTTTCATTAATTATTTCAAGAAAAAGAAACCTAGGTTTGATGTGAAGAAATATCTAGCAGACTTTTGCTTTCCAGGAAACATCGATGGAAAATCTTTACTTTAACATGCTAGCAATATGTTACAAAGTAAGTATTGTATATCTATTTTATTCTCATTATTTTTCTCATATAAATGAACTGGAATTCAGTCACATGAATAAAATAAAAACCTTGTAAATACTTTATATCATCATGTAGACAACACAAAATGATTCTATTTGTTAAATGTTCCCTACGACACAGCATTCTGAAAGCTTGATACCATCATGTAAACATAGCATGTAAGACACACCTCCTGTATGTGACATATCTATAACTCTATAATGTCCACAATTAGGTGATGTTTTTCTATAAATAATCAAACAAACCATCAAATTATTAATTAATGTGGTTCTGCATTAACAACTTTTTTGTATGTATTTATCATTACTGTACGTCAGGCTTGATATGTCTGTTTCAAATTTTATATTCAATGATGAATATTACTCAAAATAGTTCCATTGGGAAATATTGTTGTCAACATGCATTTGGAAACATGAGAAAAAAATAAGACAAAAAAAATCATGCAGAACAACAATAAACCAGTTCAGATAAGATAAGCAGGCTTACAGGATGATTCTGTATTACACTTGTATAGTAAGTCACTGCAGGCATTCTAACACGTTAATATTAACTGGACATATATGTCCATTCTCACATGGACTTACTTCCTATAGACTGACAACATTCAAATCACAGCAACAAAACAACAACTGTAGAGGATTAAAAGTCAAATAACAAATACAACAGCTATTCACAACAATGATAAAGATTACAATAAATTTCAATAGCATGCACAAAAATAAGCCTATTGACGTTGTAGATGACAGATTCAGCAAAATATCCTAAATACCACATTCTTCTATAACTGCATATCTGTCTCCTTCTCATGGTAAAATTGAGCCTTCTGATGAATCCTTTAAGTTTATTTTCACAATTATTTCAATTTCTTAACAAAAATTAACAAATTGTTATTTTTTTACAGGGAACAAGTGCTATACTTGTGCAGTTCACAAAACCCAGAAGATATGATGATGAATGGGTGCTATGTGTGTTTACTGTAGGGTAAGATAAAGGTTGATCATTAACTTAGATGGTTACTGTCAAACACATTATATACTGAATATCACATATTTACATGGTTTATAAGTCACAGACAACATTTCCAGAGTTATGGTTATAGACAGGAACTTCCTCCAGAATTTGTTGGCGAGGAATAGAGTAATGTGCCTAGGGGAATGGTATGAAGGTGACAAAAGAAAGGATTGTAAAAGAGAACAAATTTCATGAAAAATATGCTGTGTGCAGATAATAACTTAAAGATGTTTCCTTTTTAAAGCAATTAATGCCATTTCTTGTTCAATTGTTTTGTTTTCTCAGTGTAAAGGTCAAGGAACACAAAGATCTATCTACATGCATTAGTGTAAGTAATTTTGAGTTCATCATCTGTATTTTGACAGAAAAACTAAAACACTATAATAATGTGGCTATAAGATATTGTGTTGGTTTTGATGCCAAACTCTGAAAGATATTTAAGAAATATCAAGCTGAATCTGCCCCACTTTCACAAAGTTTGTTACATCTTACAGTTTCAAAGACAGTTTCATACACAACAGCAAATCAGTTATCACTCATCACCAGCATCTCTGACACTTTTCCGCCCTGTCAAACATTATCTCACAATACCATTCAGTTTCAATACAAAGTCCCTAATCAGACTTTTTCGAAATTTAAATAAATGCTAACCAGATGGTTTCTTGGAGCGTTATATTGTATTGTATGATAAGTATAACTAAATCATTATATGAGAAACTGTTTGACAAGGCATGTGCAGTGAGAGAGGTAGAGAAACACAGTAGCACACAATACCAAAACATGCAGATATAACCAGGGGGTCTTGCCTTCTCCATTCGTCCCAAACTGCCCTCTGACCTGGTCAGGAAGGACAAGGATGATAGGCCGTTGCCTGACTGCTCATACCCTTTTGTCATACTGTTGCTATCACCAACTGGCTGGTAATAATTTCCTGAATCCATTCTCACTAGTTGCTTTGATTTCTTGACGCCCTGACTTGCCATTAGATCAGATGACAATTCTGTTGAGCTGATGACTTGCTTCAAAGTTTCCCTGTCTTTCTGTTGCTCAAGAGCCTGATCACTGTTACTCACTTGAATGTATTGCACTCTGTCTTCATCAATCCCCTTTATTGACACCCCAATCCTAAACCCTTCCCCATCATCACTGCTCTCCACTTGAGACAGTGCAGATTCTGCAGACCCAGATTCAATATTACCTATATCAACACTTTCACTATTGACTAATGGAGACAAATATATTACATCATCAACAACATTATCTGTATTTTTTTCACTTTCAAAGTCAGTTAATGTCTTATTTTCATTTTTTGAGTCAATATGTATTGAATTCTTATGTAAATCTTCTGGAAAAGAGGAACCTATTGCAGGTATCACTTGGTGGGGGTTCAAACTATTGACACTTAGCTGTTTTAGTTTGGCAAATTGTGTTTCAATACTGTGATCTGTAGACATGATATTGTGGTTTAATGCTGACTTCCCCTTTTTATCTGGACGTACAATTGGATTGTCCCTTCCTAATAGGTCGGGACGAGTACTCACTACTTTCCCCTTCCCTTCTTGGTCAGGATGAGTACTGACTGCTTTCCCCCTCCCTTCTTGGTCGGGATGAGTACTCACTGCTTTCCCCTTCCCTTCTTGGTCAGGATGAGTACTCACTACTTTCCCTATCCCTTCTTGTTCGGGATGAGTACTCACTGCTTTCCCCTTCCCTTCTTGGTCAGGATGAGTACTCACTACTTTCCCTATCCCTTCTTGGTCAGGATGAGTACTCACTGCTTTCCCCATCCCTTCTTGGTCAGGATGAGTACTCACTGCTTTCCCCTTCCCTTCTTGGTCGGGATGAGTACTCACTGCTTTCCCCTTCCCTTCTTGGTCAGGATGAGTACTCACTACTTTCCCTAACCCTTCTTGGTCAGGATGAGTACTGACTGCTTTCCCCCTCCCTTCTTGGTCGGGATGAGTACTCACTGCTTTCCCCATCCCTACTTGGTCGGGATGAGTACTCACTGCTTTCCCCTTTCCTACTTGGTTTGGATGAGTACTCACTACTTTGTCCTTTCCTACCAGGTTGAGTTGAGTGCTCACTGGCTTCCTTGCATGCTTATTATGAGTACTCATTGCATTTGCCTTCCTTTTTGCATCATTATGAATACTTTCCATTTCCTTCCTCCTGGCCAGGTGATGGGGAGTCTCCACTCCCTTACTTACCAAGCCTGGATAAGGATTAATATCCTGCTCCATTCTCAGTGGGCCAGGGCAGGTTATCACTATTTTCCCTGTCTTAACTTGGTTAGGACAAACACTTCCTACAGGATTGGACTGAGTGAATCCTTTCCCCCTGGACCTATCTCTATGTTTTGTGAGTCTTTGTCTACGATGATTGGGTTGATATTTAGCTATTCTATGTGGAATATACATTTTCATATGGTTGTTATAGGACATGATAGGGGATAAAACCTCAAATCTCCACTGGTGCTCATTACATGGATTTGATCGAAGAGGTTTTACTTCGGGCTAATGGGACGTCCAAGCAGCATTAAAAGATCAAGTTAAAATGGAAGGATACATTAGTGTAACAGTATAATGCATCAAAATATTTCATTTATCTCAAATTCAAAACATGATTCTACTTAAATGAACATTTGCATTTTCATTAATATCTAAGTTTACCTAACATACATGCCACCAATTTTTATCATCTATTCAGTTTTCAACTTTTCAACAAAGTAGAAAAGTGAAACAAAGAACAATATATAATCTCCCTCCAGTTTTTATTTCATATTGTTATAAGCTGTATTGATGATGAAACATGTATAGTACACTGTATGTAACACTAAAATGTTGTGTATCAAACCAGTATTGTTATATACATTATAAAATGTTAATGCTGAAATTCACAGTCTAAATGTACAAGACTCAAGTCAATATCATGCCAATAGGTAAAATAAATACAAATGTTTTGAATATATATACAACACAATGATTGTATAGATTCTATACAACATAAATAATATATTATACAACCAACACCATGGTATGATAAGTGATATGTTACAATAACAATAGGAAGACTTTGATGACAAGCAGTGTCAACATCAATAACATACAATTAATCCTCAGTGCTGCACATAAAAAAAACAGCCAGGACAACAAGTAGTAGGAGAGGAGGGTAGAACTTCTAAAATCAGTCATTCAGCCATCATACTTAACAATATGTAATTAATCTTTGACAAGAAACCATTTACCATCAACACTTCTTCGTCTTTTGATGATAGACCACTCCTGGTATTGTTACATCACACAGTCGATCAATAGACAGCATAGGTTTGTGATTTTTTCACAATACATATTAAAATTATTTCTTAAAAATTACTCAGGGTTTTAGTTTAGATAAACAGAAAATTTGTTAAATGTCAACAATTTGATGATAACAGTATGAGAGAAAACAGTATCTGAAAGGCGCAGTACAGATTAGTATCCTATGACTATGATGTGATTGTTAAATGCAATGGATAGCTAAGCAGAGGCTGTGATAATGACTGCATTAGAATGATTGGGATCAGTAACACAGTATGAAATATAACAGTAATTTCCACTCTATCCTGTTTCTATATCAGTCTTCATATATATTTCTGATTTACAGTTCATGTTTTTGGCTACTTGTCACAATTCTGACTACACACTCCATCCAGATTCTTCATCAATGTATATATAACAGAAATTACTGAATTACAGATTGTCAACAGATTTCTGATCATATTCCTTAAGTGAAGGCAGCTAGACTGGGTACAGTGCAGCAAGTCAAAAGCTGTGCATTAATATCATGCATTCACTTAAATCTCATTCTGTTGCTATTGTTTTATTTGATTATCAACTTATATCTAACACAGATGTCCTTGATGTAGCACAATTTTAGCTCACAATGATTCCTTACAACATGCAGGCTCCAAAGATCAAAAGAGAATACAACTTTCAATTTCAAAATGTCAAAGTTAATTTATATTTAATCAAGATTAAAAATTAACAAGGATTTTTCTTCTTTTTTTAACAGACTTCTTAATAAAGTTTAAAATACATGTTTGTTTTAAAAGACAAAACATTCAACAAATGTGTTGTATAACATGAAGACTTCCTAAAATATCTTTGCCCTGATCTCTATAGCCTTAGAGTGATGCTGTCTGACATGCTGGATATCCACCTGGATAATGTAGCTTAGTTTACCTGGTCTGCGCCCACAACCTGCACCGTGTGAGTGCCGCGATACACGCTCGGAGAGTCGTCCTTCTGCTGACAGAGGGGACAGCACACAGAAAGAACAGATAAGTTAGGAGGAAACACATGAAGAATGAAAACAGAAATGAAATACACTACACAAGCTACCTATAAAAAATGTGATTTTCCTGGTGAAATTACCTAAAAATGTCATTTTTCTGATGAAATTACCTAAAAATGTGATTTTCCTGGTGAAATTACCTAAAAATGTCATTTTTCTGGTGAAATTACCTAAAAATGTCATTTTTCTAGTGCAATTACTTGGTAAAGAACAGTTTGGCCTAATCATGAAAGATAATGATATTAATCGGTGGAAATATTTGTTTTCTAATCTGGCCACAACACTTCAGTATAAGATCCCTATGGTATCTTGTTAACAAATATACCTGTACAAGTACATGTTGAATGATATATCCAGGAACTGCCAATCAACAGAATTACAACACCAAGGTGCATGATTACATCAGCCAATTTTTTTTTTTTTTTTTGTAAACAAATTTTCCTAGAATGCGGAGCTCTCTTAATTCTCAGTGCTAAAACATGTAGAAAATCCTGGTAATTTGACTGCACTACAACTACACAATGAAAAGATGGTCTAGAACTGTCTCAGTTACTGCATTTTGTTAGTAGCATTAAACATTCTGAAAATCAAGATTTCTTTCAAATTTCAAATTTTGATCAAGGACTTTTTTTAAAAGAAGAAAACTTTCTACAGCTATTAGATCTGAACTTGTTGTATATATGTCTCATAATTTCTCATTACTTTTGATAGAAAGATAGAAAAGAGGAAAACAAAATCTATATTATGAAAATTTGATTTTCAAGATGAAAGGTGTTAGTTAATATCTATATATGAACTAGATTTGTTAGATACATTAACACAACACAATGGGAAAATGTGCAACATGATTAGTAAGATACTGTACACTGAGGTTATTTACTTACAAGACTTAGTTTTAGTTTTCTGTTGAGAGTGAGTCTATGAATGTTAAACAGATCTCTATCAGATTATTTGACAGACCAACTTTGCAGGAGCAGACAATTTCATATTAATGGTACTATCAGAATTCCCTTCAATACTTAATAAATACTTTAAATTTTCACTGACAATTCAAGGTATAGACAACAAGCCTCCGGTGAAAGGTTTGTGGAATTTACAATGCTCACCGCTAGCGAGTTGAACTATCTTAAAAATTGCATGTAAGTAATATGTGTAAAAAGGAAAAAAATTATAAATATAGAAAAATATCAAACATGACAATGAAGATTTTCAATATGAAAATTAGGAAATTAAAGTGTTTTCTTGCTCCCATAAGAAGGAAATTGTTTGTAGTAAATATTTACATCTCCTCAGGAACATCTTTGTTACAATTATACCATCACCTGGTGTAATACTAAAAGAAACCCCAATTACTATCCTAGTCAAGACAAGCAGTTTCTTCCTCTAATGCCATGGAATATTATCATATATGTCTCTGGAAATCTACTGACAATAAAAAAACCTTGTACTTAAGATAAGACAGTATATGTAATAGATCTCATCTTATTTTATCTTGATTATCTACATACTAGTGTAATCACTTCACACGATCATGTTCCAGAGTAATCATTTCACACGATCATGTTCCAGTGTAATCACTTCACACGACCATGTTCCAGTGTAATCACTTCACACGACCATGTTCCAGTGTAATCACTTCACACGACCATGTTCCAGTGTAATCACTTCACACGACCATGTTCCAGTGTAATCACTTCACACGACCATGTTCCAGTGTAATCACTTCACACGACCATGTTCCAGTGTAATCACTTCACACGACCATGTTCCAGTGTAATCACTTCACACGACCATGTTCCAGTGTAATCACTTCACACGATCATGTTCCAGTGTAATCACTTCACACGATCATGTTCCAGTGTAATCACTTCACACGATCATGTTCCAGTGTAATCACTTCACACGATCATGTTCCAGTGTAATCACTTCACACGACCATGTTCCAGTGTAATCACTTCACACGACCATGTTCCAGTGTAATCACTTCACACGACCATGTTCCAGTGTAATCACTTCACACGACCATGTTCCAGTGTAATCACTTCACATACATATACATATGATCATGTACTCCAGTCACTTACATTCATGTTCTTGTGTATTCTCTTTCACATGTTCATGTTCTAATGTCTTCACGTTGATGTGTTCATGAACTAGTGTATTTTTTACATTTAGTGAGGTTTTTTTGTCAGCTTGTTTAGACTGGGATAGAATTGGATGTAAGTACATGAGTTCTCCCTGTACCATCACACAACACAATATTACATCACAGTATATATACCACCAAGGTAGTAACAAAAATAACCATAGCAATATGGTGCATGGGTAGGACATTTTTACCACAGGACTTGTGGTAACAGATGTAAACATTGGTAGTAACAAATGTAACCATTACATATTGTTACCATGGTTGTAACAAATGTAACCATTACATATTGTTACCATGGTAGTAACAATTGTAACCATTACATATCGTTAACACAGCAGTTATAAACCACTAATACATTGTAACAACAAATGTAACCATAAGACCATGGTTTAGATATGTATATATGATTACTATTGTAAGTATCCAAGACATCTTTATATCCCGTCTAACATTTAGCTTCATTGTTGAATCACATGAAACATTACCAAAAATTAATTTTAAAAATTGAAGAAAAATATAAAAAATTTTATCAAAAACTATTTCATATTATATTTACTTTGACATTTGATAATGCAAGCATCAAAACAAATTTCAGATAAATTCAGATCACTTAAACAAAGCCAACTGAATTTTATTCAATATTCTTTAGTTACACTTAAAATATAAAAATGTAAATTCCTGACATGCTCAGAAATTTCCACATCTTCCAGATCTATTGCCTAGTAATTCTACTGAAAGACAGAACAACGAGATGTTTCATGTTAAACAAACCTATGCCCATCACAAACATAATTGAACGCTATGCCCATCACAAACATAATTGAACGCTATGCCCATCACAAAGATCAACAATGCAGTAATCAATTATTCAGTCATCTGTTCACAAAATGTACATCAATTGTAATGGACTCAATACAATGTGTACCAAAGTTAAACAATACATTCATAAAAAACCATATTAATATGCACTTGGGTGGTGATTGTTTACACAACGGACAATCAGATGATTGTTGGCCTCATTAGTGTACAATTAAGGTGTTTTATTATGACCCGCTTCACCTAGAATTGACATATGACTAGTTAGAACAGAAAATTTATTAATTGACTGATTCTCTTTATCACTACCCACAGAGATTCTATTGTATGACTGACTCTATATAACACTACCCACAGAGATTCTGTTGTATGACTGACTCTATATAACACTACCCACAGAGATTCTGTTGTATGACTGACTCTATATAACACTACCCACAGAGATTCTGTTGTATGACTGACTCTATATAACACTACCCACAGAGATTCTGTTGTAATACTGACTCTATATAACATTACCTACAGAGATTCTGTTGTATGACTGACTCTATATAACACTACCCACAGAGATTCTGTTGTATGACTGACTCTATATAACACTACTCACAGAGATTCTGTTGTAATACTGACTCTATATAACACTACCTACAGAGATTCTGTTGTATGACTGACTCTATATAACACTACCTACAGAGATTCTGTTGTATGACTGACTCTATATAACACTACCTACAGAGATTCTGTTGTATGACTGACTCTATATAACACTACCTACAGAGATTCTGTTGTATGACTGACTCTATATAACACTGCCTACAGAGATTCTGTTGTATGACTATCTATAGATCTATATAACACTACCTATCTATAGATCTATATAACACTACCTACAGAGATTCTGTTGTATGACTGACTCTATATAACACTACCTACAGAGATTCTGTTGTATGACCGACTCTATATAACACTACCTAAAGAGATTCTGTTGTATGACTGACTCTATATAACACTACCTAAAGAGATTCTGTTGTATGACTGACTCTATATAACACTACCTAAAGAGATTCTGTTGTATGACTGACTCTATATAACACTACCTACAGAGATTCTGTTGTATGACTATCTATAGATCTATATAACACTACCTACAGAGATTCTGTTGTATGACCGACTCTATATAACACTACCTACAGAGATTCTGTTGTATGACTGACTCTATATAACACTACCTACAGAGATTCTGTTGTATGACTGATTTTATATAACATTTAATCATATGATACTCTTGGTGAAAATGACATAGAATTTCAATGCAAATAATATATCACATCTGAAGTTGATAAAATATATAAAATATTCATAAACAACACACAATGTTTGCAAGCTATTTGATAAAAAAGATTGTCAAGAAGTATATGATAAAGTATACAATATACTTGAAATGAAAACCAGAGCCCTTTAACTACAGATCCACACCTAATTCTACATAGCCATCCTAAAGTTTCCTTCATGCACACCTTACTTTATTGTTCTATTATTCAGCAAATATTTATCAGTCAGATTCAAAAAAATTGTTCTTTTAATCTGATCACATTGTAAAGTTGAGCGAATGTGACTTCTGTACACATTATCGCTGTTACTAGGTTTTTTAATCGCTGTTTAAGATCAATAGTTACCCAACTTAACAGTAACGTTAGCTCTGATTTATCAAAGTCTATATAAACTTATAACCTATGGGTTTTAATCAAAGAAGGAATCTTCTTTCTTAGCAGAATTGAGGGCATGTTGTCTTTTGACAGGCGAGGTCTCTCTTTTGGTTGATGTAATTGTTTTAGTAGGCGAATCAGCTCGCACCAATGACTTGATGGTTTTAGCAGATGCAAGACCCTTACCAGCTGAATCAGCATTTTTAGTTGAAGAGTCATCATTCATCTTTGCTGATTCAACCTTCTTGGTTGAATCAGATTTTTTGGTAGAAGTTGTTGATACAACTGTTTTGACTGAATTAACAGTTTTGGAAGAATCCATTTTTCTAGGGGAACGCGTCTTTTTAGTTGAGGTTGTTGATCCTAGCACAACATTCTTAGTTGTTTCGACTGTTTTAGCTGATTCAGTTTTCTTTGTTGAATCAGCATCTTTGTTGGAGTTGACCTCCACCAAATTATCTGATTTTACAGGCCTAGTATCTTTACTGACCTTTCTGTCGAGGCGAGGCAGCTTCTCAGGTCCTTTGCCTTGCTTATAAGGGTCTGAACTTGATCCTCCAGTCTCCTTCATATATCTTATGTTCTACCAAAAAAGAAACCAGTTCACATGCTTATAACAAACAGAAATTTTCATGAGAAGTCCTGTATAATATAGAATAATTCATCAGGTATTTTTTTCCTAAACTATCATTAATTACACATGTAATAAAAACTACACATATATATAACATATAACATAAACCAAAACATACCCTAGTATATGTCATGAGCACCATTATTAGCTACTCACAAATTCAACACCTAATTTGAAGTATTACAAAAGTGTTAAATCTACCATTCTTTTCACTAAAATTCAAATATCAAGTAATCAAAACAATTTGCATAATTTGATTTGTTTCCAATTATGTACATCAATTAAAACTGAAATACCCGGGTAATTATTATCCAACGTCAGTGTTACAACATATACACAACTAAAAAAGAAACGCACAAAGTTCCCCACTGCAGTATACCTTAGCTGTAAGGAAATAACAGAATGTTTGGTCAGGTATTTCATCAAGTGAGACAATGTCATTGTCTGACTCTGTGAGCTTCCAAATCACATGGCGTGATCAAGCCAAGCCACAAATAATTTCAATGGATACTCCAAGTTCAGCCACATTAATTTTCCACATTGGCATTTTGCTTTCACTATTGACCAAGATACCAAGATTAACGCAAATTCAGAGTGGTAGAGCAATTCGGATGTGGTCCTATATCCAAATCTCAATGCCGTTCGATACAGAGACCAGATCCTCCAACCACATGTCGTTTTACTTCTCAGACATCATAAACAAATATTCCACCAAGACAATGCTCGACCACTTGTTGCCAGAGTCTGTTGTGATTTTCGCATGGCAAACAATGTTCAGTCTCTGGAATGGCCCCGACATGTCTCTCATTGAGCATCTGTGGGATAAGCTGGACAGGCGTATTAGGAAACATCAAAACCCCTCAGCTAACTGTGCCCAGTTGATCGCAGCATTAACACACGAATGAAACACCATTTCCTTCAGGCAAATTCAAAGCACAGAAGAATCCATGCAGGGATTCATGCAAGAGGTGCCCACACCAGGTACTGAAGTGTGATTTTGTTTTTCACAGGTATCCACATTGAGTATCTACTCATGACACATGTGACATCACATAGACTTTTCTTCCATAGTTTTGTTAAGAGTAGACTTGTCCCTCCAATTGATATAAAAATTTGTACAAATTTCCCAATATACCATAGGCTATTGATTGGATAATTTAAGTGTGTGTTTCTTTTTTTGTTGAGTATATATGGGGAGAAACCACAGCAGTGAATGTGAGGCTATTTGCAAATTGCAAACTGGTCAAATTTTCAATCAATCAAAATAGGTATTGAAATACTTTTCAAGAGCATGGAACCTTACTTACGCTAAACAGATTAAATCCGATAAAAAAAAATATATATATGTTAAACGAAAGATAAACAATATCAAAAGTTTCAGATAAAATATATTGGAATACCAGAAACAAAAATGCCTTAGATCTAAAAGCAAAGAATTGCATTTCCCTATTAAGCAAGATAAGCAGTTATCATCATTGCAGAAAGATTTACAGCCAAATCAGCCTACAAGCAATATCAATATAAATATAACGGGTGTGAGCAATATCAATATAAATATAACGGGTGTGAGCAATATCAATATAAAGAGACCTGTGAAAATGGAAATCTAAGACAACTGCCTGTCAGCCATGTTGTTTTTATATCAATCCAAAAATCAAAAGTGTACAACACAAGGGGAACCTAAATATAAACTTTCATATGATCCATCATGTACTTCTGAAAATAATAGTGATAACAGGCTTTCATTATCAAATTTCAAGATGGCCATCTGTTAGCCATCTTGTTTTTCTGATCAATACCAAAATCAAAAGGGTACAACACAGGACTGACAGGAACTTATTTATGAAATTTGATGAATTATGGCTGCTACAAAAAAAAACTGTTACCATGGCAACCCAAATTCTACTAAAAAACACCTGCATACACATCTACACATGGCTCCTAACATTCCTGTATAGTTTCATTGAAATCGGTTCATAGGTTTAGGAGGAGTTGTCCAGACAAATCTTTTCCATAAAAACCTGTTTATAGTGACCTGGTTATCATAGCCACCAAAATTTCTGCTGAAAAAAAAACACCCTGCATGCATATCTACACATGTTAGCCAACATTCCTGTATAGTTTCATTGAAGTTACTCCACAAGTCTAGGAGGAGTTGTCTGGACAACACTTTCTACATATAGATGGATAGACAAACTAATTCCAGTATACCCCATCCCCACTCCCAATTTAGTTGCTGGGGAGGGGGTGGGGGTGGGGGAGGGGTGTTATAGTAACTGTATAAGGATGAATATTGGAGGACAGGACTCTCTGAACAGTCCACCATCTGATGATCATGTTGACGGGCTTAAAAATAGCAAGTGTTTGTCATATCTTTTCATTGCTTCACTACACTCTAAATGGGACATACTATATATTCTATAACATGTACACTACAACAGTACAGTACTATATAACCTATCACATATATACACTACAAAATTACACTACTGTATGTACACTTTAAAAGTACAGTATCGCACTATATATCCTTTAACATGTACACTTCAAATGTACAATATAGTACTACATAGCTTTTAACATGTTCACTATCATATATTTATGAATTATACATGTCAAATGTGCTTTGCTTACATTCCACAACTTGGAGCATTATCACTACTACATCTTCCATAGAGAAGTTAGACACCAAACTATTACTACTCTTCTTCAGAACTTTGGAAACATTAAAAGTGTTTGGTTAAGTTTTGTTAAATCAAGATTTATTCCCATCCAATAACCCATTAATTCAGTATGGAATCATTTAAATGAGTGTTTATGGAAATGTGCATGCATTGACTTAACAATGCTCGAAGACATATGTAACGCACATGCATAATTTAAAACCACCACTTATAGAAACTAAGTTGCATACATGTATGTGTTCATAAGGGTTCTATATAGGCCTTAACGGCTATCTGGTCTCTAATTTCATGTTGTTTTTTGTAAGAAAATTATACATATAACCCAAGTGACAAACAAATATTTTACATATTATAAGCTGGTACCTGTAAGAAAACCTGTTCTTTGAGTATGGACCTTTACCTATAATTAGATAATTTTCATGTTGATACACTGGTAAAATTTCAGACCATCTGATCGCTATTTCATGGTATTAAGTTCACTTACTTTGGAATCACTGCATTAATCTGCAGAAGATAACTGATGACTAAAAACAGTAATGAAATATTGATGAATTATGTTACAACTGTTTGATCCATGATGAATATCAAAGTTTTGAATTTAGCACGTATCTGCATGTTCTGTAAAAGTCCATTGTTGAAATTTAAGCCAACTTTACCCTTTAAGATGACTAAATAGTAGTTTTTTCCTGACCACCTGAGGTATTCATAAGACTATGCCATCTAACATTTATTATTAGCTAATTAATTGTATGATATAGTGCAATAGATGCTAGTTGTCATGGCAAAGGAAAGGCAGTAAGATCAATCTTTTCCACAGAAATATTGCTGATGTCGTTGATTTTCTGTATATAATGGATAGTCCATCAATGGAAAATCATTAAATCTGGTCAATTTAACCTACCTTTACTGAAAAATAATAAACAAGGTGCAAAATTCTCTGGGTCTCTCAATTATATCTATTATCTTTTTAACAATTTAATCTTTTTTACCAATTTTCCATCATTTTTCAATGTTCACATCAACAATTTTCTGTTGTGAAAAGCTTGAAAATATCATGTTTTAAAATGTGCAACATGTAAAAAGCTATTTGCTAAAAAATTATTAAAAAAAAGGAATGCAAGTGGCAGTACTGACGGGTGCACAAGGGGATTACAACACTAACTGTTTCAGCTGCCATATTATATACCTGTTTGCTATTTGATTTTCCATTCTCCTGAAATTAGATGACAAAGTATACAGCCAAGTGGTTTTATTTCAGTACTATGTACCATGTCTATTTCACTGGAGGAACCTAAACCTGTATGGATCATACCTGCATGTAACCTAATTAATGCTACACAAATCAAAGTGTTTTTTTTTATAATAAAATACATATATTTAAGATATTTTGTGTGTTTTACAGAATTTAAAATTACAAGCAAATTGTGTACCATGTTGATAAAATATAAGTTAAATTAAGTAACTGATAAATATTTGATTATGTCAAATTACTTCTGAAATTTAATGGATCATGTAGACTGCATGTATAATGTTTGGAATTAATGTAAGCATTCATCAGAATATACTGTCTACACCTGCAGATAATTACACATAATGATAATGTTATCTGTTCATTACCTGCAAAAAACTAAATGAAAACAGAAGTCCTTTCTTTCATATTCAAAATTCTGAAATATTTTAGCTTCAAGATAACAGACAGCTGATCGAGTCAATAAAATCTGCACTAAGGTCAAGAAGGTAATGATTGTCATGGTGATCAATTCTACCTGGGCATGGATCAATCTGCTGTAGAGGTGACATAGTACCAAGCTCAGACTGTAGCTACTGTAATCAATTGAGGACTGTAGATATACAGACTTGAGTCAGATCATCAGACATTATATCAGATCAACAATAGAATCAAACAGGTAAGTGGTCAGCTGTTAGGGGTCACTTACAATTGGGGGAAGGCCCAACGCCTTGTTTTTGGCAATGACATTGTGGTGATGGAAGGGTTCATCTTCATCGTCATAATTTTCATCCTCTTCCTCAACTTCATGTTGTTTCTGAAAAAGACAACATTAAATATCAGTAATACCAAATAACTTCCAACATATATATATATATCAGCGTTTCCAATAATATTAACAGCTAGCTTATCCATGTCATGAATTAGTATTATAATAATAATTGGTGTGTTACAGAATGTGATAGAAATTATATCTGTTATTGTTAAATATAAAAATGTTAACATATGTTAAACCATATGATACAGTTATTGTAGCCACTCTAACTCATTTTATAGGTGTAAGATGCCTACATTGAAGGCATGATAATACTGGGCAATAAGTATAGAGACGAAACATATTTCTCAAAAAACAGCATCCAGTAATCACAATCATTAGACAGTTGGACAGCAAATTCACAACTTGCATCAAGAACTTGAATTGTAAGTTAAAGCAACCATTCCTATAACAAGTATTGTCTGGAAACCAGTCTTTGTGCTGAAGAATCTGAACATAAAAGTAATGCATCCACATCAAAATTAATGTAGGTTTTCATTGTCACATAAAATTTTGTTTTTATAAGATTATGTTGGCTACTAATACTATCTGGCATGCTTTCTCTTGTCTATATTACAATGTTCTACTGTGGGTATACAGAGTATATATAAAATATTACCTGGCAATAACATAAACTCAGATATACTGTTTTTATGACTTGTAATTGCCATGCATATTTATCAATATTGATTGTCTTTATTGCACACAATTTCTCCTGCTTTTACTTCATTACTAACCACATGTGACCTAAACTTGTAAAAGGATGTCATTTTAAATAAAACAGAATAAACTTTCAACACTTCAGCAAAAGGACACATATCATGACCATAAAGCCATGCCTCATGGTTCTGATGATGAAGTATTTATAACTGAATTCCTTGTAGACACAGCAAAACCTGGTGACAGTCAGTTACCTCACCAAGTGACTCACTGATATACCAAATCAGGTCATCTACTAACTAACTTGATATCTATCTCTTATCCTATCCATGTTAAAGCAAAAATAAAAAGCAATATAAGCAGTTTACAGGGATAACATATGCTAATGGCATTCATATAACTATAATCCTCAAATCGTGTCAGCAAACAATTAAAAGACTACTAATTTATCAAAATAAACAATCCTGTTATCTCAATAAGCATTCCCATTATCTCAATAAACAATCCTGTTATCTCGATAAACAATCCTGTAATCTCAATAAACAATCCTGTTATCTCAATAAACAATTCCATGATCTCAATAAACAATCCTTTTATCTCAATAAACATTCCTTTTATCTCAATAAACAATCCTGTTATCTCAATAAACATTCCTGTTATCTCAATAAACATTCCTGTTATCTCAATAAACAATCCTGTTATCTCAATAAACAATCCCATGATCTCAATTAACATTCCTGTTATCTCAATAAACATTCCTGTTATCTCAATAAACAATCCTGTTATCTCAATAAACAATCCTGTTATCTCAATAAACAATCCTGTTATCTCAATAAACAATCCTGTAATCTCAATAAACAATCCTTTTATCTCAATAAACATTCCTGTTATCTCAATAAACAATCCTTTTATCTCAATAAACATTCCCGTTATCTCAATAAACAATCCTGTTATCTCTATAAACAATCCTTTTATCTCAATAAACAATCCTTTTATCTCAATAAACATTCCTGTTATCTCAATAAACATTCCTGTTATCTCAATAAACATTCCTGTTATCTCAATAAACATTCCTGTTATCTCGATCAATAATCCTGTTATCTCAATAAACATTCCTGTTATCTCAATAAACAATCCTGTTATCTCAATAAACAATCCTGTTATCTCAATAAACAATCCTGTTATCTCAATAAACAATCCTGTTATCTCAATAAACAATCCTGTTATCTCAATAAACATTCCTGTTATCTCAATAAACAATCCTGTTATCTCAATAAACAATCATGTTATCTCAATAAACAATCATGTTATCTCAATAAACAATCCAATTTTCACAATAAAACAACTTCCAAATACACACAAAAAATTCCAATTGTTTCAGTTAACACCTTCCAAATACACAAAATAGGCATTAAGTTCCTATTTACATAACAACTGAATATAGATGTTCTAAATTATGATAAAGATGATAGCTATCTATAATATGTTTATATGATACCGTTTACTTTATAAAGACACTATCTACCTATATATGTTACATGTGTTTTACCTCCTCATAACCTAGGAAAGGCATGACATACTGAACAAAAAAACAAATCAAACTTAAAACTTGTAGACAATCTTCAATTACAACTTATTTATACAGCAACAGTATGACCAAAATGTGTACATTTTTAGTAAACATTTCATATTTGTTTCACAGGTTAAATGTTATGTTTCACACTTCAGTGAAATCAGAAGTATTTTCCTGCAATGAAAGTTCCTTTTCTAGCCCCTGGATAATTAAACAGTCTTTATCAAAGTACAATAAAGATTAGAACGATGCATTGGATATCATCATTGTCTCCATTTACCTTCATTTAAAGTGATTTTCAAACAACAAATTCTTACTTTGAATTTGGGCAATTGAATTTGACAGACACATTTTTGGACTGTTTAATGATCCTGAAGCCTTGATTCTGGTGAGAACTTGCATATCATTCACAACAGGCAAGTGTCTTGATTCTTATAATTAAATTTAGCATTATGGCCAATCTCAGTGATATCTCATAGTGTTGAAAACATTCAAACAGTGCAGCATCAGCATCATGGATCATACACAGCATCAAATTTACTTCACACCAATCACAAATAAACATTGAAAAATGTGACATACATGATAAATAATTCTGACTTTCAAACGATAAGCTTATAGACAGTAGTGAGACACACCATGAATCATTTGGGTACTTACTTTAGTAGTAAAAGTGTCAGCAGTTGGTCTGAAAGACTACAGGGACAGAAACGACACTGTTATTCAAATAGGTCCCTACAAACATTACATTTTTAGAATAGAGAGAAAGTGACATGGATTTAATAAGAATCTTTTATGGCTGTATACATCAGAAAAGTGCCAAACTCTCTATCATATGTTGTGGCACTAGCCCATCAGAGTACGTGTGTTAGAATGTTTAAGTATGGGTCTAACGTAAGAAAACACTTATCACCATGCCCTCAAGTTTACCGATCACCAATGTTACAGCCTGCACCTGTACTACATATAGAGAGGCAGGACTCTTACCTTTAACTGGCGATACTTAAGATGTCTAGGGGTAACCTGGCCAAACTCTTTAGCATTTTCTGCCCACAAAGCCTGCAGGTATCTCTTTTGCTGATATTCATTTTCCTTGAAAAGAATAAGATTTACAATGTATACTAGTACATATATATATAAATCAGGGGTGACTATTGCTGCCAAAAAAGCTGTCAGGATAATATTGCGATAGTAAAATTACTATTACTATAGTATTGAGCTAATCAAGTGACTATTGCAATACTATCCCAATAGGGTTTTTCTTATCTTACAGACATAATCCTCACACAGAAATAAAGCAAGGTCACTAAGCAATGAAATGTATCAGAATGCTCAAGTAAGCAAATTATGTTGTATCTGGAAAAAAATATTCACATTATTACAGGTATGTTGTACTGTGATATTTATTACACTTTGTTCTGTTTTTATACATAAACATGCTATTCTGAGGTATCTTTGGTAAAACACAGCTGGAGTCAACACTGGACAATATAACTGTCACATATGAGTCTTATTTTCAAAATAAATTCAGTATCAATTTTCTCCTTATTTTAAACATTTGTTTGTTTCAAAAGGTGAAGGATTAATTCGACGATGATATAATAATTTGGTTTTGACAATATATTTTGAAACAATTCATACATTGTTGGCAGAGCTGTGTCAAATATATATATAGGCCTACTAAAGGAATAAAGATAACAACTATTTACTGCATAACAATGTCTGCGTTTTTAATTTTGACATAACCAAAATGCTACCATATTGTTGGTTTCGCATTTTTAAAATACCACTACCTTCCGCCATTTTGTTTATCAATTTGGGTCATTTCAAGGATGGACCTTAAACAAGAATAGGGGATAAAGAAGACACCACCTCCTTTAAATACGGGTATAGACCGGTACTTTGTTGCTTTCACTAGATCATAAGGAAGACATTCGCACTTACTTAAAATATAAACTCTCATCAATGTAACAATTTGTGCTTAAAATTCTGATTCCATTCTGAGTAGGTGATTGTGCCATTCTTGTATCTAACTATATCCCTGAGTGAGGTTACCAAGACACTTTCATAAATAAATGAAGGTTATGCAGATGTTTGACAATAACTAAGAGAAAAAACTTGCTTTCAATTAGCATTTTATCTAGTAAACATAGTTTAAATGTCAAAGAAATGCACGTGAAGTTCAAAATGTAGGCTATTTGTATACAACACACTGTAATTTTCATTCAATGTCAGCAATTTAATCTTTACAACTTCAATTTTGATTAATGATTTCAAGCTATAATATATAACAATATTATACAATCAGGGAAATACACGTACTACAATGTTACAGAGTTGTACTCCCTAACATCAAATGATTAGATAAACCACAAAGACAGCTGACACTCAGGTGTTGCAACAGTTTTAAACATTCAAGAATTATTATTGTATGTTAATTGTGTTGTTTTGGTTTACATAAGCTACAGTAAAGTGTAAGATATTATTTGATGGGTTTATTAGACCCATCTCCCTCTCTGCTAATGATCTGTGTAGAGTAAATATCCCTTTGACATTTTCAGTACAGCACTGGATAAAAAAATAAGACATTTCAGATTCTGTGTTGACGGCTTGATTCAGCATCAATATCTGTTTCATGTATGTATGGTTGACAAATCAACACTCACCTATGAAAGGACAGACATGTCAACAAATATCTTTATACCTTAAACCAGAATACAGGTATGAAGTGTTTGCTTTATTGACAATCTGTTATTTACCTGTCTGTAGAGTATCACTTATGATATCCCATCCAGTGTGGGATCAATACATGAGCTCATACAATACCTTAATTACATGACTAATTATCTATACTGCAACATTTACAAGAGTAACTGATTTGAAATGTAAACTAGCACTAGAGATAACAAACAATAGCCTAATGATTTTCACATCCATACCCAATGTGTGTATATCTGTAATAAAGAGTTCAGTTCAATGAGTTACCTATGCTATAAATTATAAGCAAAAAAGAGTGTTACAATAAATCACAAATGTAGAGGTCCATTGGGATCCAGGATAAGACAGAAAATAGTTCAGGGCCTACTGTCTGGTAAATACTGACAAGAGGGAGTGTGGTTAAAGGTCTAAATTTAAGTGTAATAAACTTTGACAGTAGGAAAACTGGTTCATGGTCTAAACTCTGGAAAATAGGGAGACTTGTTCATAATGTAAAGTCTAGTAACAACTGACAATAGGGAGATTGCATCAAGGCCTAAAGTCAGGTTAATACTGACAATGCAAGATAGGTTTGTGGTCTAAAGACTAATAAGATTGACATTAGGGAAGCTGGTAAAGACTGATAAAAGGGAGACAACTTTATGGTCTAAAATCTAGAAACAACTGACAATAGGGGGGCTGCTTCATGGCCTATAGTCTGGAAAGGACTGACAAAAAGGAGACTGCTCTATGATCTATGGGAGACTGGATTGTGGTCTAAAGTCTGAGACAGACAATAAGAAGGTTGGTTCATGGTCTAAAATCTGGTAATGACTGACAATAAAGAGGTTGGTTCATGGTCTAAAGCCTGGTAATGACTGACAATAGGGAGACTGCTTCATGTTCTAAAATTTGGAAACAATTGACAACAGGGAGACTGGATTGTGGTCTAAAGTCTGCTAAAGACTGCCAATAGGGAAACTGGATCATGGTCTATAGTCCTAGGGTCTGATTAGGAAATGTGTTTAAGGCTGACAATGGTAAGAACAACTTTGACATTTTATATTTGTGCATGTCTTCCCTATGGTTTATCTTTGAATGATCAAATGGACTTTGTCACAATATGGTTACTATAAGAAAGAAGAACAACATGGACTTTCAGGAAAGCGATGACCAGTTCTACACCATAATGAGAAAAGTACTAACCAATTCTTTATTCTTATATACAGGCTGAGCTCGATCCAATCGTCGGGCAATACCAATGTTCTGCATCTGTATCTCACGTAACATCTTCTCTCTACTGCCATAATTTAAACTGCAAAAAAAACAGTAGCTCTAGCTATGAACCTAATGACATTAAGTTAGAGACACTGGCTATAAGCACACGTTACAAAAAATACCAGGTTCCTGCTGTGCTCCAGATTTTCTATTGCATTCTATGGTACAGACTTTACTGTTGCATTAGAATGGTCCTATGAAAATGATAATGATATACAGCAAAGGATTCAGAACAGTTGTAAAGAAAGCAGCTCTGTCAGAATGTACAGCTCTGTCAGATTGTACCAGAATGTCCGAAAGGAATTAATGATGATTTAGAATAACAGTGGCATGGATAATTTCATCAGGAAAAACAATCACCAAGTAAAGATTTAGAATTCTGATACATGGTTGACTAGTGGTAAGTGTTTCACCATGTGAAAACCATTATTGTCTATAATTCTTACACCTTCATAAGGTAAATATACCTACCTCTTGGAATTTTTCACATAGTTATAATATTAGTCTTTATCAGTGTAAGATACCCACCTGTTGGGGTTTTTCAGGTAGTTATAACACTAGTCTACATCAGTGTAAGATACTCACCTGTTTGGGATCTTCAGGTAGTTATAACACTAGTCTACATCAGTGTAAGATACTCACCTGTTTGGGATCTTCAGGTAGTTATAACACTAGTCTACATCAGTGTAAGATACTCACCTGTTTGGGATCTTAAGGCAGTTATAACATTGGTCTCTATCGGTGTAAGATACTCACCTGTTTGGGATCTTCAGGTAATTATAACACTAGTCTACATCAGTGTAAGATACTCACCTGTTTGGGATCTTCAGGTAGTTATCACACTAGTCTACATGTGTAAGATACTCACCTGTTGGGGATCTTAAGGGTAAAAAACACTAGCCTTTAGCAGTGTAGGATACTCACCTCTTTGGCTCATACTCATTCCAGTTATCTATCTCTGGTCTGTTCTTCATGATGTGGGTCATCTTCTGTAGAAGCACCTTGTTCTCATGATCCACCTCAGCCTGCCTTTCTTCCTCTTGCTAAAACAATTCAATAAAAACATCAAGAGAACCTCTTTTTTACAGATACAAATGTCCTTGAAACTGATATACGGCAAGATACAAAAGAAAAGTGAATCAATGTATGTTAGTAATCATTATCATGTTAATATCATTTTCTTTCTAGTTGTAATATGATTTATGGTACTAAGCATGCATTTATCAAGGGTCAATGCTGTTTCATTATCTATTTATATATGGGTACTGTATTTTCCGGCCTATGAGCCACAGCCTTTTCCTTTTGAGTTTGGCATGCAGCTTATATTCCAGTATGGCTTAGACATGGATGAAACAAAAACAAATTGGCAGAATGGGGAAAAAATTGTAGTACCACATGCTTGTGACTGAAACAAATGGGGTAGAACTAATTGCAATCGTCTACTAAATAATTTGGAGATTGCAATCTAATAACATTCCCATGGATTTAATTAATTATACCCGTTGATATGAAACAGTAATATATTCTAATTACAAGGTTTCTTCACACCTGTATATGCAAGAAAGTGTGACGGATGTTTCCAGTAGACTATTGCACCCTGGGATTGATAGGTTGAGACCTCCAATGAGTGCAACAAAAAAAATCTTATTTATGTGTATACTGCAATCTTGATAAACTGCCTCCCGTTGTCTATTACCGGTATATCAAACGTCAACAACAGAAATCATGAATTCATAAGAAAGAGTGTGACTCAAATGTGGATGAAATCGTGAAAATTGCTATAAACCGGCCCTGATTTATACTCAGGTGTACACTGATTTACAGACCAGAAATATGGTACAACTTTTTGAAAAGGTAAACTTATTCCCTAAATGGGGAAAGTTTTCCCAATTACTGATTCTCAAACCAATCCCGTTTCTTTTGTTAACATTACATATCATTTTCAGAAAACTGAATCTCTGAAAATAATGATTTTATATTTACCATGTGAATACCACTGTACAAATTCAGGTGTTCCAGAACTAGTAAATCAACCTGTTTATCCCCAATTTCCTTTGATCCTTTGGTTAAGGAAACATTTTGATAGAAATATTTCTTTTTTCTCTCTCATCAAATTCTAGATTCTGAATTATTTTCCAATATACGACCAAACTTAGTAGCATTCAATTCACCTGACCTATTTTGGTTCCTTGATTATTGAAGTTTTTTTTTCTAACTCAGCTATGTCACTGCATACCACAGGGTAATTTACATCTAAAACACATCACTAAAGTGAATCAAATGAAGAGATGGATCTGGAGAAATCGATATCATATGACCATCATTTACACCTCATTGCAAACTTTACATGAAGAATTCTGAAAATGTTTCAGCACTAATGGCATAAGTCATTTGAACAACGCACCATGCACAGTGATAAGTGAGATGTAATGATGCAACTGATTCATTTTACTAGCACACAGTCTAATATGTCACTATCATATATGTATTTACAAAGGTGTTCAGGTCTTCAGACATCAAGCCCACAACTTGTGAGCTATAGAAATCTCTCTGTTAACCACTTAACACCATGTTAAGGTGCCCGATTGGGATTTAAATCCAATTTTATCAAACAATAAACTTGTCAGTCATGGAACACATATAATGGCTTTCCCATGATAAATATTGCACTGAATATCACACAGTTTAATCCCAGGGTGATGGCTGTTACAATCGTATCTCATTAAACGTGAAATCTGTCTTTTACTGTAATCTAACATAAATAAATTTTGTGGAAATAAAAGTAACAGAAGAATCCAATGAATTACCAGGGTAAAAAATAAAAGTTGGTGTATGACTGTGTGTACAGCTAGCATAATCAGTGTGATCCTACCAAATCTAAAGTGACAGCTTTTTAATGGCGTCCTATGTGACTCACGATACCTTAACATCACCAAGAATCAAAACATGTTTCTCCAGTCTATATGACAAAGAAATTAATCAAACTGAATAAAAAATGTTTTTCTTTTCTACATAGAAAATAATGAAATCTACATGATATATCAGAACTGTAAATACAATAACATATCTGGTTTATACCAAGTAATTATTGACTGTTGTGATGGTAAATATAAAGAAACCAACAACATTGCTAAATCAACTTGATTACAAATAAATATTAAAATCTATGCTTTGTGAATTATTATGATCAAATAATGCACTGCTGAAAGGTGGAACTTTGACAGAATTAAAACCCACTGAAGGTGAAACTGAATTTCCATTACAGTGGACAGACAGGAAGTTGTCATTGAGTAAAGAATTCTCCCAGCTATTGCGACCAAAGACGCATTATTGTCACCCGTAATACTGAACTGAAAGCCAATATATCAACACAAAGTCACAATAAAAGATATAAGGCTCTCCCAGCTAATAATCTCAACTGTACTGTGTGGAAATATTCAATAGTGTTATTCAAAGTATGCTAAGTCTAATCCAGGGAAATAGCTTATACTTCACAATAGAAAAATTTGATAATATTTTTTCTACACATTACACGAAAGGTTTTAAAGGCTTATGGAAACTTTTGTCTATATACACCTACATAAACATTTGATTTTCTTCTTTGAAAGACCCAAGATCCTATAATTAGTATAACTTAGAAACATGATCATAATTACAAACAAGGTTTTGAAGACCAAGTTTGGATACTTCTGTTGATAGTATCATTCTTAATGCTTAACTTCAAATTCAAAACGCTTCACCTAGGTATATTGATTTCATCACCATCAGACATTCACCATCAACTGAAGGGAAAGAGGCAACTGAAAGTTGATGTCAAAACATCAAACAATGTTGATGTTATTGGTAATATAAATTGATAATCTTGATCAAAGAAATTGCAGTGACAGCACACAAATAGCACTATACTTCAATGTTCAAAAGAACTTGACATCCCAATGTACAAGGGCTCATTAGAGTCTGCACTTGTACTTCCTTGCCAGTGTACACCTTGAATATTGGCTGGTCCCAGAAAGACCAGCAATACTATTCAAATAGCCTGGAAATGTGATAAAAGCATAATTTGGGTATGATGTTTTCCATCACATTTGATGTTAACAGAAAATTCAATATTAATTTCAAACTACGATTTTTCCCTTAACAGATAGTCTTGCCTGAGAGAGTGAGGTTCTAATGTTGATCAGAAAATTACAAATGGATAATAAAATCTATACTTGTATTTGTTGTGTTAATTTGCTGTATGCAATTAAGATAAAATGAACAAATAAATGTGAGACTCTTTATTGTTCTTTGTTCATAATTCATATAATATGATATATTATCATATTATATAATGTAATTAATGCATATTTCTGGAAATGTCAGAAATGGAGAGTGAGTAACGTATGATAAGACTTTGCCGTTTTTGTTTGCTTTGTTTATAAACTAATGAAAATCTCCCTAGTTTCAGTGTACAAATAGATAAATATCAATGATGTCTAAAAGCGAAATGCTTTACATTAGAAAAAACGTCACTCTTTTGTTTTCCATTGCCATTTTCATTTAAAGTATTCATGTTGTTAGAGTAGATCACAGGAAGATCTATGTACATCTTCACAATGAATTATTCACTATGTTACTCTCTGAGTGGTAGATATTGATTTATATTTTGAGCGGTTTTTTTCAAAGAGCATATATATTTCAGTCAAACAAAGCAGATTTGAAACAACTATATATCCATATGTTACAAATCCATGGCCTGTTCTATTGTTCATATCAAGTATGTAATATTTGTCTCATTGTGATGATTTATGACCCTGTGTAAACAAACAGTTGACATCCAAACTTTGTAATTAATACCAAGGATTCTAATAGACACGTCCTGTTAGAGTAATTAACCTGAAGGCTATCAATATGTATTAAAGGACCACAATTTACTTTTGAATATGAAGCATACAAATATACTTTTTATAACTGACATTATTGTTCTATCTTATAAATCTAAATACACAACATTTTAACATATATCTTATCATTTGTATTGTTACATCACATGGTTCTTTCCCAAGAACAGCCTTTTTAAGGTGTTTATGGTCAATATGAACGACAAAACTTTGAATGATAATAACATTGTGCATTAGTGTACATTTATATCACCCATGAATACCAAAGTAAATCAGTTTAATTTGAAAATGACTTATTTATTACCAGTGGGAAGATCTTTCAGCATGACTAATGATTTCAAAAGTGTGCAGTGCCACTCCCTATGGTTACCATCATGACACTATACTATAAAATGAGTGATGAGTGTCATTTTTAGTCCTTTGATATTAGGAAGTAATTAGCATCTAAATCGGTAGACATAAATATAAAGAAACCTCCTCCTTTTCTGCCATTCTGTACTGTAGAATACATACATTCTATTAGAGATTCCAAACACATACCCATTAGACCTTCAACATGTATGATATACAGTCTAATGTAACTATCAGCCAACCAATTTACTCTACATAAAAAGACTATCAGTTTATATCACCTTGCCATGTGTTTCTTAAAGTGTCTGTCATGCATGACCTCAAATTGTATGCTTCAATACATGCCAAATTACAATGTGACAGTAAAATTATTGATTATTGGTCTTCAAATACCAACAGATGGGATTATAAAGAATACACACATTTGAATTGGATGAAGACTACAAAGTTCTATAGGCATATTTGGTTCTTATTGCCTTACCTGTATCCTCTTGAGTCGCACAATGACATGGGGATATTTCTTTGGAGATTTGGTATCTAATCTTGTCCTTGATTCATTAAGCTGTAAATGAAATCAGAAAATTACTTATAACATTGCATATAAACATATTTATACCATACTTTTAGGATTGTAAGCCATTTACTTTGATGGGTCAAGCATGCACATTATATACTGTTGTAGCTTGTACGTGGAAAAATAAAATGGGGAGAATGAAAAACAAATATCAAGAGAATGAGGAAACAAAAAATTGGTATTTCATAAAACATACACACTATAAATGTTTGTTTAAAATCACATCCAGTGATGTGTTTCATGAAAATCTTATCAAAATCAATAGCATAGTGCATTTTTAATGAGTACCAGCAACCCAACACACGTTTGTGACTATGGAACAGATCAGGTAGAACTGTCACTTGTAATGATGTACAGGATGATCTGAATAATGCAACATGCAACTACAATAAAAATAACATTCTCTTGAACTTATAAGACAATGAGATAGAAATAGCTGATAAAGATTGGAAAAAATGACAGAAAATTTCATGGTCTTACATTATAATGTATCACCTAGTATGATACATATGTTTCCACTCGGTGAGCTCTCTAAGAAATTATAACATCAAAGAATCATTAACTAAAGAGGTAGTGCCAACTTCAGTTGCGAGTGTGTTGGTTAATCTGTGAGGTACTGCACATTGGGTATGGATATCAAAAGGTATGCAGGGTGACAAAATAAAATAGGAAAATTAATCCAAGTAGTTTAAAAACACAATATACCTGTCACCTACGAATCATTATTTAAACAGAGCAAATAAGTAAATGCGACCCAATATCAACTGTGTTAGTTAGAATGAGTTTGCATGAATGTATATTGGTCATTAGAATATATCACAACCTGATGTAAGACTTTGTAGTGCATTCTGATCACTATATAGTTCTCAATGGTGGTTAGAAGTAAGAGAGGTCTATTTTCTGAATCCTACTATTTAGTAATATAAACGTTGGTAAAATAACCAGGCTTGTAGTATATGTATAGACTTATAAATCAGATTGGTTTATTACACCTATCTACAGCTAAGATCTGATGATCACATGTTCCTCTATATACACGCCATCTTATTGGTTCCTCATTCAGCTAAATCAATTAACCACTAATAGTTTCTGTTGCTTGACTGTTCAGTCATAGAAATGTGTTTCTTTATCTTCTTTATTGTAATTTACAATGACACCCCCTTGAAGGAAAACAGTACCTCGCAAGACATGATTCTTACTAAAGAAGGTACACATGACAGACTTCAGGACAGTCTGTGATTTGTAGGTCAATTTAACAGTGATAGAAAATGTTGAGAGGTGGGATTATTACTAGGCATGGGCTTATCACCACCCAGAACAGGTGTAGTAAGGCAGAGGAGTTCATACTTTACAGAGAATGACATAAAAACTACTACACACATCAGTTTATCAACTTGTAAAGGTTACATAATATGTCTAACAGGCAGCAGGAATATTTATAGTTAGACTGTTAGAGTACAGTGTATAGTCACAGTCTGTAAGAATGTACATATCACCCCTGTTATGTAGATAGAAGATTTCTTATACACCTGGACATAAATGGTTAATCAAGCATGACCACCTAGTATTGGTAGCTGTGAGAAATGTTGGCATGTAATTACACTGTTATTCATTCACATACAAAAACTTGGTTCCAACATCTCAAAATATTTAAATCCCAAATCTTATCTTCTACAAAGGTTTAATATGTGTCAAATAAAACAGTGAAAAGAATGACAAACACAAGCTTTTGTGCTGTCAATTATTCTGTTCAATTAAAGAGCACCAAAATGGTATACCCTGCTTGAAAGCCTGATTCTGGAATAAATGAAGAAAAATCAATTCCAAAACCAATTACAAGTAAACAAAGTAAACAAACAGTATATACATAATACCTTTACCCAGTAGACAGGAACATCTGTTACTGGTCAGTAAGTACCGTTACCCAGTAGACAGGAACATCTGTTACTGGTCAGTAAGTACCGTTACCCAGTAGACAGGAACATCTGTTACTGGTCAGTAAGTACCGTTACCCAGTAGACAGGAACATCTGTTACTGGTCAGTAAGTACCGTTACCCAGTAGACAGGAACATCTGTTACTGGTCAGTAGGTACCGTTACCCAGTAGACAGGAACATCTGTTACTGGTCAGTAGGTACTGTTACCCAGTAGACAGGTGTGTCTGTTACTGGTCAGTAGGTACTGTTACCATGTAGACAGGTGTGTCTGTTACTGGTCAGTAGGTACTGTTACCCTGTAGACAGGATCATCTGTTACTGGTCAGTAGGTACTGTTACACAGTAGACAGCAACATCTGTTACTGGTCAGTAGGTACTGTTACCCTGTAGACAGGATCATCTGTTACTGGTCAGTAGGTACTGTTACACAGAAGACAGCAACATCTGTTACTGGTCAGTAGGTACTGTTACCCTGTAGACAGGATCATCTGTTACTGGTCAGTAGGTACTGTTACACAGTAGACAGCAACATCTGTTACTGGTCAGTAAGTACTGTTACACAGTAGACAGCAACATCTGTTACTGGTCAGTAAGTACTGTTGCCAAGTAGACAGGTGTGTCTGTTACTGGTCAGTAGGTACTGTTACACAGTAGACAGGAACATCTGTTACTGGTCAGTAGGTACTGTTACCCAGTAGACAGATGTGTCTGTTACTGGTCAGTAAGTACTGTTGCCCAGTAGACAGGTGTGTCTGTTACTGGTCGGTATGTACTGTTACACAGTAGACAGGTGTGTCTGTTACTGGTCAGTAAGTACTGTTACCTAATAGACAGGTGTGTCTGTTACTGGTCAGTAGGTAGTGTTACCCAGTAGACAGGTGTGTCTGTTACTGGTCAGTAGGTACTGCTACCATGTAGACAGGTATGTCTGTTAATGGTCAGTAGGTACTGTTACCCAGTAGACAGGTGTGTCTGTTACTGGTCAGTAGGTAATGTTACCCAGTAGACAGGATCATCTGTTACTGGTCAGTAGGTACTGTTACCCAGTAGACAGGTGTGTCTGTTACTGGTCAGTAGGTACTGTTACCCAGTAGACAGGTGTGTCTGTTACTGGTCAGTAGGTAATGTTACCCAGTAGACAGGATCATCTGTTACTGGTCAGTAGGTACTGTTACCCAGTAGACAGGTGTGTCTGTTACTGGTCGGTAGGTAGTGTTACCATGTAGACAGGTATGTCTGTTAATGGTCAGTAGGTACTGTTACCCAGTAGACAGGTGTGTCTGTTACTGGTCAGTAGCTACTGTTGCCCAGTAGACAGGTGTGTCTGTTACTGGTCAGTAAGTACTGTTACCTAATAGACCGGTGTGTCTGTTACTTGTCAGTAAGTACTATTTCCCAGTACACAGGTATGTCTGTTACTAGTCAGCAGGTATTGTTTCAATGTAAGAAGATAGGATTTCAACAAGCCACACCTATTGTACAGTGTTTTAGATTAAGCATTTATCACATGTTTACATTAATTATACAGAAGTCATCCCCCTGGTAGCACATTAAACAGTTTTTTTTTCACTTTTTTTATCGTAATTTAATCATGAAGATATTATACATGGTATTAGCTCTGTTATGGTAAATATCTTTGCACCTTTCCAACACAAAACTAAGATCTGGTATTATGTTTATTGTGGCACGCACAAATTCTCAACGTCTGACCACTGACTTTAAGTGTACATGTGAATGACGAAATAACATTGAAGTCATCAAGAGATATGTACACATAGTCTCAAGAGGTTTGAATTTGTGATTGGCTTGCCTTGTGTATTTCCAAGAAAAAAAATACCATGCAAATTCTACAAGTGATTTACAGTTATCATACGTGTACATTACGGATACATGGTCTCATATCCTGTAGCCTTGTTAATTCACAGACTTTGGAACATTTATTGAGAAATTAATAATAAACATTCCTAAGCAAACCATAATGACAGAATATAGAAAATAAAAAGATATTCTAGTGCCACACATCACAGGATTTAAAAAAAAGAAGTTCTACTTGATATGATTACAGAGAACCACACTCATCACAGAAGAAAATAGTCCTCTCCATATACAAGACAGACAGGAAAAAGATATAATCAGTAAAACTCATCAGCACAGTGAGCCTCAATATTACCTTGATTTATAAGTTAAGTGTCCAGATACAAAACAATCTGTTGTCATCAAAACAAAAGCAAGCTCTGCTAGATGTAATTTCACGGAGGTAATTACGGTACATGCATTTCTGGACCACTGCTTGTCTACATTTCTAGATTAATCAGATGTACTGGTAGATAGGGGTATATAAAAACACAAACACAGGTTTGGGCCAAAAGTAACCAATATTTTATTATTATGTAATATTATGTAACATTACAAAATTATATATCTGTGGACAACACAGTCCACAAATAATGAAATACTGGTCTTCTGCTAAGAGACAAATACAACTAATAACTACAACATAAAAGATCTAATCTAAAGGGATGGGTGGGATGGGTGTTTATCATTCAGGGTTCTAAAGCCCTGTCAGTGCTGGAGGTGGGACCTGGTCACTCCACAGTGCTCTGGAGACTGTGGCTGGGCAGGTCAGTGCAGCAGTGTAACCTACAAACCTCCTTGGTTGTCATTGGCTAAACCTGTCAAGGTGAGGAGGTTAATGGCTGACCATACAAATCCCCCTTATAGGCACAATGTTTCTCAATGGTCCCATTGCCCCAAACTTGACATGCCAAATGTTAGCCCTGACCCCTGGATAACCGACTTGATAAAAGTTGGGGCCATCTGACAAGAATGACACTCCATCCCACCTCATTAATATTGTATTAATTACTTAATACCTACATTAATCAGATGTACTGGTAGATAGGGGTATATAAAAACACAAACACAGGTTTGGGCCAAAAGTAACCAATATTTTATTATTATGTAATATTATGTAACATTACAAAATTATATATCTGTGGACAACACAGTCCACAAATAATGAAATACTGGTCTTCCAAACTAATAGCCCAA